CCCCAACCCCAACCCAACCCCAAACCCAACCCCAACCCCAAACCCTTCTAATTGTATTTGTCTAAAGATTAATTTTTCAAGAGATTATTAGTTAACTGATGATAAATTAATTTATTAAAAGGATTTATAAGTCTCATCTAAATTAAATTTTTTGAATCCAATAAAGTTAATTGTCAACATAAAAGTTTTCATAATATTGCTTTAATTAAACAATCATAGTTGATATTGCTGGACATTTTCAACCTAAACAATATTCATATAAGAATAACCTTATATTTCTTATAGTTTTAAATTAAATCATAAATTGTAATTAGTCTTGATGATAGATTAATATAATTTAGAGAAAAGATATATTCATCATATTACAGGATAAATTATTGTATGCATTCATCAAGGAAATGGGGATTTAGTAACATAGCAATAGAGTATGGTATTTTTTAATTAAATTGTAAATCTTGTAAGGTTGAGACTTCATGTTAAGAATGTATGATAAATATTTTCTATTGGAGAATGAATGCATAAATAAATGCCCATTATTTTCGAATGATTGTTTAGATTACGTAGTTGAACTAATATGTAATTTTAAATAAAATTATAATAGTTTCGGTATATTTAGTGAAAGCATTTTATGACAATCACATGACATGTGATAATATAATATCTCATTTTGACGAGGAAAGAATTTTCTTGCTGGAGCGAAATTCTCACTAAATTAAAATAAATTTGTATTTGAAGCTCTGTTAGTATGGAATAATGCTAAATACACAAAAGTATACACGATTAGTAGTCCACATTATGCTTTTATATTGCATTTGAATTTAATGTCATAATAATAATAAATTTTGTTCTTTAATCTAATAATTATAATTAAATTATATTCATAAAGATAATCAGTTTTGTATTGAGTCTCTTTGTGGTAAAATCTTATGAATTTTTTTATATTTTATAGAAATAAGAATTTATCATGCTGTAGTTTTTGCTATTTTTAGATTTAACAATTAATTGAATCAATAATTCGAAAAAAAAAATGACTTTGTTTTTATGCGATTATTATAGATATTTATAGATTATAGAAAAGTTATTAAGCACTGAGAAAGTGATGCGAGATAAATTAAATTAAAAATAACAAAAACTTTTACCCTGATTTAGAATATAAAGAGTAAAGTAATTCAAAAATTATATAGTTCATAATTTAATTAAAAATATATGATGGGTTTCGGATAGCTTAACTCTAAATTTATTTTGCCATTTACTTGTCTAATGTTGAGATGTGTAAAATAATGTTTAATCCAAAAGGTTTATTGATTTATTTTGAGATTCATTTAGTGTTCTTATTATATTTTGTAATTTCTTTAGAGTGGTTTCTATTAATAATCTCAAATCGTTTATTAATTATTCTGAATTACATAAAAAAGATTTATCTTTAATAAAAACTATATATCCTCTAATGATTATTAATTTTAGGATCTATTTAAGAATATTATATTTATTATTATTCATAAGCGACATAATTTTATTATAATTATAGCAAAACACTAAAATATCTATTAACAATAATAGAAGGGATGAGAAAGAATCTGCACCTATTGTTAGAATTAATATATATTTCCATCCTTAAAATCATAAACTTAAGTATAAATTAAATAATCTTCCTAACATAATATGAAATAATTTTTTATTAAAAAAACAGCTTTGAGAATATCAATAAAATTAATTTAGTTTTATTCATAAAATGTTAGGAATTAATCTTCAAATGCTGATGAAACAATACAACTTAGTTTACTAAACTACTATAATCATGCTTGCTTATATACACAATATACTGGGAAGTTTAATTAATTAATCAGAACTATTTTATACAATCAAAGAAAGTAAATTTTGTTGCTACATATGGGTGTAAAAATAGGAGACTAATTGTTATGAAAAGACGAAGGAAATAGAATAATTGGAGATGCACAAATCGAGACTCAAATATTCAAAGAATCCGAGCCTATTCAGGTATATGTCCAACAAAAAGACTAGATGTTTAGGGGTTCTATCAAAAATGACAATAAGACAACCCTCATAGTGCCATATTACACCAGGAAGAGAAGAAGAATGATTATAATGCTAGCAATTATTATTATTATTTTTTTTAGATTCCTAAAACTATAAAATCTGCATTTGTAATTATCCCAGATATAATTCTTATAAATAAAATAAAATATAAATGGTATAATTTCTCCCTTCATTTAAAGCATAGGAGGGTGTTAAAAAAGAAAAATTCTGGATCTTCCTATCATTGTCTTGAATAAGACCCCGGAAGGATACCTAATGGAAGCAAAGGTTCGAAGACAAAGTGAGGCAAGTTTTGACTAGATATGGTTCTCCTTTTAATTTTTTTCTTTCAGGTGTCCAAAGTTCTGTTGTCGTGTTTCCTTCTTGTTCTTCTAGTATTTAAGGATTGCTCAGTTCCCAGAAGCTCCCTATACTTCGTTCCACCTTGTCCTATCTCATTCTCAAGTTCTAGAAAAATGGATGGTGATAATAAGTGTCCATTAGCCATTCGACCCCCAAGTGTTTGAGTTACTAATGTTCATACTTCGCCCATAACCTTCATCCCTTCTCCGTTCTTAGAACATTGGTCCTGCTCTCGGCCTTGGCTTCAGTTCACATTGGGATTCGAGGATTTTCAACAACATGTATGTAATGACTCTTGCTAATTGGAAGAGACAAATTTTTAATTAGAATTAAGAAATTTCTACTGTTTTTAATTTTGAGGGAAATAGATAAAAAAAAGAAAAGCAATTAATTCGAATGCAGAATGAATAGAGATATCTATAAACCATTAATTGTGATATAATTAAATAGCACCAAAATAAAAAATGTTAAATTATTGTATTGAGCTCTAGATTAAACTTTCTTATTACCCTTTTATATCACTCTTAAACAACAAATAATTTGTTATATAAGAATGTATAGAAAAATATCCAATTTACTATTGATTTTTTATAATTATTGCTGTTTTTATTATATCTAAAAATGCTCATTATTTCTTGAATTGTGCTAATAAATCATTTAATTGATGTTTAAGGAATAATTGCATTATTTATAACTGGGTGTAGATTAAAAAAAAATTATTATATAATTTAATTCTACTGATATAATTATTTTTTCAATAATCCAAGATAACTAAAATGGTATGATAATTAATTCACAAATCAAGCTTCTTTTTTAAACCAAGAACAAAAATACTTCTGGAGAAATCATATTAATATTATAACACAAGCATTTCTTATCATAACAAAACTTCCTTTCTCTTTCCAAATACAATAAGAAATTATATTCTTCCCAGCATCTTCTGCTTATGGTGAAGCTAAGAGGAATTAAAACAGGCGCCTTTTGGCCAAAAACAAGGAACCAAAATAAATTAAATCTATTTCAATCAAAACACACTTATTCTTACTCTTTTCATCTGAACAATGTATTACGAAAAAAGTGAATGGGTTTTATTAGCTTCTAAAGTAAACTATTTCACATATATCCAATATCAGAAACATATCAAAATTACACATTTGCATGGATTAATAAAATATGCATTATTATTTTTACTATTTAACATGTACTGAGATTGATAGAAAAATATTTCCATAGTTTATCGATCTCATTTTTATAATTAATAATCATATTTCATTATGGATTCATTTCAAATATGATCATACTAGTGTTGTTAATTTATTCTTTAGATTTAATCATACTAAGAATTTATAAATTATGGTCAAAATAAATTTTTTGGCTATTTTTGTTTTTTTTGAGTAAAATTTAAAATTAAATACAATTTCTTTTTATTTCAATTTTTTAACAAACTGCTGAAATAGTAATGGTTCAAAATCAAAATTTATTTAAATATTACTTATGGCTAAACTTAAAACAAAAAAAACTTAAATTAGATAATCTTATACATTATTTGCATGCAAAAAGAGATCAATAAATTTAAATCAATAGTTTTTGTTAATATAAAATCAATTGTGTATTTTTTATTAAATCTTACCTCCCTATCTACATTATAAAATAATTGTTAAAATCTTATTAGATATTTAGAAAGATTATTTAATGCTAAATTCTAATTTTTTTAATTATACAATCTATCAATATGAATTAAGTTAAATTTTTTCGTGAAATAGAATTAATAAAATTCATCCAAATGACTGCTTAGAAGGATATAAAAAATTTCTATTTATGCTAAATATTTAAAGTTAGGCTATTTTATTCTAATATATAAATATACAAAATATCCTTCTCAATTTTTAGCATAATCTATCATATTCAAATACAACACATCTTCATCTCTCAAAGCCTCAAACCAAATATCAGTGATAGAAAGAATTCATATATCACTAAGTATGATTCCTCAAGAGTGAAAATTAATTTTGGATTTTCAAGAATATTCAAACCCAGAAGTGACCATTGCTGGTTTTGCAGTAAATTTTAGCTTGAGAAAAGTGTGGCAATATATAGTAATCTAATAACAAGAAATTTTTTGAAAAGAAAAATTTTTTTAGCAATTTTAATAAATTTATTTCATTCTTTGAATTTGAATAAAAAATAAAATTTTATTTGGTGATAATTAACATTTCATACACTAAATATAATTTTGAACCAAAAATTAACTTTTAGTAAGTTTGAGAATTTTCATTAATAATAACAATAGCTAAATTTTTTTCTAAACAGAAAGACTTTTATTTTGAACAATACAAATCTTCAAAA